CCGTCACATGACCTTTCTTGCGCGTGTCCCTCATCCAAATACCGAGATAGATACATAATATATTATTATGTTTCCCCTGGGTCTCAAACTATAATATATTGATAGGTACATTTCATCTAAATCGGTTCAATGGTTAAAGCATGAAAGGGTAACTAACATTTATCCATCTATCCTACCTATTTCACATTTAACTATAAGAGTAGGCGCACACCGTTGATTTTTCGTCGGCCGATAGTTTAGTTGGGCAGTTGATCAGTACGGGCATGTATGGGAATGCGCACACTACGCCGATTCGATTTGGCCGATTCTTCATACAAATTAAAATCGGGCACAACTATCGGCCAACTAAAAATCAACGGTGTGCGCCGACTCTAATAATATTAGCAAGATAGGATTATTCTGTATAAGCTAAGTGGTCATTTTTATGAAGTTACAAATTCCCCCAGGGCAATAACCCCTAATTCTCACTAATGAACGTGTGTACCCGGGTCTAGCAGTTTAACCGCCAATAAAATCCAACAAGTGACGGTTGAAGTACCCCCTAGGGGAAATTAAACTGTCTTCAGTCAGGCCCGCCACCAAATTAATCAGAAGTTAATATGAGTGGTTAGAAGTTTTGGGACTTCTCCCCTGTGTAGGGTTTAAGGGTACGACAGATGGAAAGTAATGGTTTAACAACTGAAACATGATTTGTTATGATGCAGCTTCATAATTATGTGTCTCTCTTCAGAATAATATGAGTTTATTTTTCTTTTTTTTTTTAATGCAGAACAATGCATTTTACTCCAATCGCACCTGATGTTAAGTGAGATGCAGTCTAGGATGGTACATACCTGCCCTGTAAGTGCATGAGTATTCACTCTCGCCTTGAAGAGGCCCGGATTATAGCGCTCGGGAAAGACAGCAGTGAATTCCAGTCCCTAGCTGTTCGCGTTATAAAAGAGTAGGAAAGCGCTTTTTACTTTAAAATTAAATTATCTAATTTATCCTTATGTCCCCCAGAGTATCTACTCTGGGGGACATAAGGATAAATAATTTTTGTTGCAAAATCGTACCTATCAGAACTACCTAAGTTGCCACATAAGCTCATAGCAGACTTATCAACTCGGAAAAGGTTCAGCCAAACCAACGCGTTCACACGCGATCAGCCGGCGTGCAGCGATGGCGAGCAGACTTAAATGCATTGATCGCCATCGCTGCACGCCGGCTGATCGCGTGTGATCGTGTAGGTTTGGCTGAACCTAAAGGGATCAATACCAAATCGCCTTACGCGAGCTGTCATCGCCTCTCCGCGCTGTCAATCGCGAGGCTAGACGTTGTAAGTGTGCGTTGCAGTATGGAGTTTCATACAAAGAATACTGACCGCCTCGAGTTGACACGGTTACAATCCCTTTCCACGTCCTTTATTTACCTTGGTGTGCCGTCATCCGTAATACTTTAACAAATAGAAAAGAAATCAAGGACCATTGCTTCCACGTCACTTCATCGGATGATGGTAATCGGTCACTTAAACCAGTGATTTCAGAGACCGTATTAAGAGTTAGTGACATTTGCCCTTTTTGATCTTTCTTTTCAAAGTAGAAATGTCTTAAAAGACTTTTTATATTGTTGCATGTTAAGGGTCATCTCTCATTTCCCTGCGTGATCGAATCAGAAATGAGGAGCTCCGCAGGAGAACCAAAGTGACACATAATAAATAATAAATGGGCGGGGCACATAGCTCGTAGAGACGATGGCCGTTGGGGCAGAAAAGTTCTCGAGTGGCGACCACGGGCTGGAAGACAAAGCGTGGGCAGGCAGGCCTCCTACTAGGTGGACCGACGATCTGGTGAAGGTTGCGGGAAGAGCCTGGATGCGTGTTCATTGTGGAAAACCTTGGAGGAGGTCTTTGTCCAGCAGCAGTGGACGTAATTTGGCTGAAACGAACGAACGAACGAAGGGTCATCTCGTGCAATTTGTGTGAAGGAATACGTGATATAACTACCTGAAATTATGTATACGTAAAACAAAATGTCACAGTTATTAAGAAGTAGTTAATTGGGTTTCTTGGAATTATTGGCTAATGGTGTTAACTAACCAATTAGTGCGAATTCGTGTACTAATTGGAATTCTTCATTATTACAACTCCCACAACAGAGAGACGAAAATAAATACTCGATTCCCTAGAAAATACTATCATAGAAAAAGTAACAATAGTGACAGATTTCTGTTTTCTTTTTGTACCGTCGACAGCACTAGATGTAATTGTATAAGTAGGTACTATTACGATCAGTTGAAGTTCATTGTCATCATCATCATCTCAGCCATAGGACGTCCATTGCTGAACATAGGCCTCCCCCAATGCTTTCCATGTTGCCCGGTTGGTAGCGGCCTGCGTTCATCGCCTTCCTGCTACCTTTACGGTGTCGTCGGTCCACCTTGTGGGTGGACGTCTCACGCTACGTTTTCCGGTACGCGGCCTACACTCCAAGTTTAAGTTACCTCGATACTAGGGTTCTCTTCACTTGAAAAATCTGGATGCCCAGAGTGCCCATCACCTTCAATCACCTTTAGATTGAAAACATTCCATGGTATGGGTATAAAAATATTTTATGTTGCAAAATGACATTACAACCACGTTAGATTCTATATTTAGCTTGATATACCTTTACAACATCATCAATTTACCAAAGGCAAAGGCATTTAGCCTACATTTCCGTCATCGTTTGGAACTATCCATTTGCTTCACGAAATTGAATCTGTCACGAATGATAGTAGGGGGAGAGGGAGCAAATATCTGATATCACAGTACAATCATTCGGACCTCGCCTCCCCTAAGCTTTGATGTGAGTTCTGACTGCTAGCGGCGACTCAAACGGTCCGAGAGACAAATTGTATCCGGCGGGCCTCCGTGCGGCGGGCGCTGATGTTACATGTGATGAGCGGTAGCGGGAATAATCTGATTTGCTTTAGAATGTCCATTTAAAGCCGGGTCTCCAGTAAGTATCTTTTTGTAATAATTTTTTTATCTTTTCCTTATTAACTTTAATCTGTTTGCGTACAAACTAGTAAATAGACATTATGACGTTTTTTAATGTATAAAAAGTAAAAGGACTTTAAAGGCGTTCTTCAGTTCTTCTTATGTTACGATTAAAGTATGTAACACAAACTTCTATTGGACTTTCCATAATAAATTCTTTTTCATAACATCTTGGACCACCGGCAGTGTCACAGCGCGTGCTCCAATCGTCTGAAAGTGTGCAGACGCGCGTAGCGCCACCATAGGACGTAATCTATGGTGATCAGATAAAGAAATGCGTGACTAAGGCTGCGTCTCCACTGAGGTGTTGGACGGAGCGAAAATAGCTTTTTATATGTATATGTATTTGCCGTATATAAAGCAACTACCATACTACAGAAGAGATGTTCTTCCTAAAACAATTTAAGTTGACTGCTTTTGAGTGACAGTATGGGGCTGTGTGACAATTTACAAGCCGCGTGTGTTGGCATTGACTACATTCTGCCTTTGTATGAACCAAATAAATAAATAAATAAATATTTGGACAATTTCACACAGCGCCAGCTAGCCCCAAAGTAAGCAACTTAATGCTTGTGTTACGGGTGCTAGCTTAACGGATATACTACTTATATACTTTTTTTTTTAAATACATACATATTATACATAGTCACACCCAGACCCGTCACAGAAATTAAAATTCATCATTTTAATTTCTGCCCGGCCGGGAATCGAACCCGGTACCTCTCGGCATAGTAGTCCGTTCTGAACCACTACACCAAACGGCCGACATAACCAACCAAAGAACTATATTTTTCTGTCTCTACTATTTTCTTGACTATAAAAAAGAGCTTTGAACGGTGATTTGCCTACCGGAAACCCTTTTATGTATTAACACCAGCATCAGGGTACACTAAGGGCACAGATAATGCTATTGAGATTACTCAGTACCTTCATCGGGGTCAATATAAAGTCATTGCCACGAAAAAATAAGAACAAGCTATATGAGCTGTGTTTCATCAAATGTAACAAAACATCGCTCCGCATCTAAGCCATGCACCCGTTCCAGTGTAAATACAGCTTTATCCGTTTTGAAATTGAGTCGAATTCCGCGCGACGTCAACTGACATTGCGCAGACGACGAATGCCATGCAACATGATCTATGGTTAGACAAAAAGAATGCGCCATTGGTGATTTATTGATCGTTAAATTACTAACTCGTTTCTTATTATTATCTTAATAGGTTCTTAATTAAATTCTCATCAGACGACGTCTTAGTGTTGTTGATTATTTCGGGGATTATTAATATAATATGTTATTTTACGGGCGCTAAGCCTCTTAATACACGTAATTCGATATTGTTTTATTAACGGTCCTCTCGCTCATTAATCTGGGAAAGATTATTAGGTACTAACAATGTTACGAGTATATTACTGATGAAAACTGTTTTATTTCAACTACGAGTATTGTTATTATCAATATTGAATTAATCTTTTCAATTGAAATAATAATCCTTTTTGGGCGTTTTTTTATATTTGATTTCATGAAATTCTACGTTAGTGTACGCAAAAATACGAGTTAATTCCCATTGCAGCAACAGAATGTTAATTCTTGAGAAATATCTTAAATCAACACCGGATATCTTGACATTTCACTAAATAATAAAAGCCGAATTCCACTAACTTTCGTCATCAGCAGCTGCAGCACAATTCATCATGGCCGGCATTCTTCTCCAGGAATTTAGCACGTTATTATTTATGCGCATATTTTCAGTTCGAGCTGAAGGGAAATGACACCCGAAACCTTTCTTGTATAAATTGGCTTCGGCACCAAAGGAGAATTGTATAAAAATAACCTTGTTATTCGCGTTTTTGCTCCCGATATCGCTTTCGGGACTTAAATGGCAACATACGTCTTTGTAGAGTGTCTTTTGTTATTGAAATTAGCAACTTACTAACGAGTAGAATAACAATGTGTTTTCTTTCTTTTCAGGTGAAAGTGAAGTGAAATGGATACTCGCGAGTGAATCTAATGATGGCCGTGAACAGTCCAGGAGGTTATCCTCCCGTCTCCCCTAAGCCCCATACTCCCAAAAGTCCCCGGCACTTTGTGTTTCCCCAAAAAAGTCCGTCTATCACCTCCAGCACTTCTTCTTCTGGGTACTACACGCCTCAGTCCGGTTGTAGCTATGATAAGCACAACCAGCCTCCGAAGTCTCCCATAGCGCACGGGCACAGAAGTCCCATGAGCCCGAGGCACTTCAATTTCCCACAGAATCCTTCAGGCCGGTCGAGTCCCTGCAACTTCGATAGGGTCCCTCATCCCCCATCTAGCCTGCACTACTCAACGTCTCTCAAACACAGCCGGAGAGAAAAGTCCAGGTCTCCCAAACCGCCTCCCGTGCACATCCACACCAACCCAGGATATGTGTCTCCGAACCGCACGCGGAAAATATACGGTTCCACTTCCACAGTGAGCTCTCCGCGGCTAGTGACGTCACCGAGTATAGTATCGAGTCATACTGACGACTCGATGGATGCCATGCCGGGGACGCCGTCTGCAGTGGTTCATGATGCGGATGACGAGGCCACGACGACGTCATCACGCATCTGCCGGAAGTCGACGTCAGATTTGACAGATATGACAGATGACACGCCACAGACTAGGTCGACGAGCGTGAGCAGGCCGTGCTCTCCTATGAGGCGAGGGTCCATGAAGGGTGGACTGGCTTACCTGGCCAGTAGGAGAGGGTCGAGGGAGTCTACGATGTCGAATTGTGACTCCGTAGAGGATATCGGGCCGTTGAACTTTCAAAATACGATGCGTGGACGGCAGAGGCGGACGTCCAACTTTTTGGAGTTACCAGGTGAGTCTATGATACTTTCATTTCATTATTATATTTCAACTTTGAGATGTGTTTTCTGCTACGCACTTTTCTTAAAAAGTTAAAGTTTTATTCTATCTACAGTTTACAGCACATAAACCTATACATTTTTTTGCAAAATAGCATGTATTACAACGAGATAAGACGCCACTGTGTTTAGGTTGATGTGCTGTCGTCCGTACATCGTGAAGTACTTAATATATTCACAGTTTAGTGCGCAGTACCTATCAATGCCAATATTTTTGAAAAATGAAATTCTTTTTTTTTTTATAAAATCTTACATCATACCTCGACGCTCAGTGATGACATTACCAGCGTTGATACTCATTTTGCTAGCTGGCAACACAGTAATTAAGTGTTCGCTCGGTAACAAAGTTACGCGTGAGAGTACAATAATATAGTATAGGTGAGAGCAGTAGGTCAGCGTTGTATACAAAATGTACTTTCTCAATTTAGTAGCTTATACTAAAGGCATTAAGTTCAAATTCCATAGGGGACATCTTTTCAGTCTTTAGTAACATGACCTTCATCAATCCCTAATTTTTAAGTGATCCCGATTCCCGATGGTAAGACAACAGGAATATTGTTTTCATATTTTCATTATTTTATATTTGGCGTCACTTAAAAATTAGGGATTGATGGTGAAAAAGGTCATATAATTATAGGTAAGGTCACACATAATTATAGGTAACCCTTAAAATGCTTATGGAAATAAATCACAATGGATGCAAAATTTGGATATTAATATGCAGTGAAGAATTAGATCAATCAGTCAAATTCACATCAAGTGAACATTTAGTACCAAAACATTAAAAAATTAAGGGCCTGTTCACAACTCACTGATAAAAGTTAAATAACTTATCTGTCAGATAAACTACAGTTTTAGTGTCACTAGTCTCGTTTAGAGATGTCTGATAACAGTCACTAAAATCAACTTTATTTGTTAGAAAGCTATCTGGAACTAATAAAACTGGCCCTTAGCATTAAAATTAACATGGACACAGAAAATTTCAATCTCTGTTATTTGCGGTAGACAATGTTGACGTGGTCTTGGTTACGTCGAGTTCGAAGTTCTGAACTTTAGTTATCTACTAATATAAACTAGAAAGTTTGTGGATAGATGGGGTATTTGTTCACGAATACTTGACGCAATAACTGACTTTGAAACTTTACAAGTTACAGCTTGTACCCCGACAGTAGGTAGTACATGTCAATCCTGTCACCCGCTTTGCAATGGAGGGAAGTCGAAACTTAACTTCGAACTCCTCCTATGTTCTTCTGATTTATTTCGTTGCGGGTCCAATGACAGTTTAACTTTCCCTCGGGACAAACTTGACCTTCACTGGTTGGGTTTTTATTGACGGTCAAGTAGATCTTGGCTTCACAGGAGTTGCAGCGGTGGTAAAGAGAGGTGAGAATAGTCCTGAGTACATGTCAATCCATTTTTGTAGCAAAATAGCATTCTATTACATAAGGTATCCCAGGGTTTACCTTGATGTGCTGTTGCCTATCGAAAATAAACAAATATTAATGACTCGTTATAATAAATAACAATTTGTCTTTATAGAAATCTTCACGGACGGACCAAACCCAAGCAAAAACAAGTATTTCAGGACCTACATGAGTGTTCCTAAAATACGTGCTTTTGCTGAAATGTTTTGTATTTGCTGATTTTTCAATCACTGATTAACATTTTACTGAAGAATAAGTTTGGCACATTGACAATTTCAGTCCTATGGGAAAAATTACAAAATGACAATTTTATTCTTCAGTTATAAGTTATCCGACGATTGAAAAATCAGCCCTTAGTAACAACAACCTGATATACTCTGTCCTGTTAATTGATTTAACTACCTATTCAACAAATTAAAAGCTCTTTAAGACTCTACTCTATTTATCAAAAGCAAGGCGCACAAAGTCGCAGGATAAATCTAGTATTTCATACACGACAAAGTTCTCTGCCCCTCGATATTGTGTGTTAAAATCAATAGGCACTTGAACTCAATTAACTGATGAAATTACTGACGTCGTTTAATGGAAATTGAATAGCGATTACAAGGAGAGTGCCCCAAAAGTTTCCAGTGATAGGAACTTCAGATGTAACGTGTATTAAGTGACATTAATTAATGGAAAGGTTGTAAGTAACAACGCAATTTAACTTTTAGAGAATTCCCGCAGCTCAAAATCAAATAAAAGTAAATATTATTTTTATTAGAATTAAAGAGAAAAAAGTACTTAACACTTACTTTTTACTGCTGTTTCAAATCTATCTTTTTTCAGATTTTTTTTTAACTGCGTTAATTTTCATGTGTACCTAACTTCAGTACCTAATTATGGTTTTTCCCTTTGTAATCTTTTCACCTTCAATATTTTTTTCGAGAAACCTTTTTGTTTTTGTAATAAAATGCCCAGTCTATGTCTGTACCAAAATTCTTCAAAATTAGATTTAATTAGAGATTTAGCCTTGAAATGAACAAGCACACAGATAGAATTTTAGTATTTCAAATATAGCACCTATATTACAACATTTTAAGGCTTTACTTTTACTGTTAAGGCGTCTGTGTCAGCGCGCACGCACACAGACGCATCGCCGCGACCGGTTCGAGGAGCCCAAGCTGCAGAGCGGCGCGGCGCTGCCCGCCCCCCATTCGGGTCTCAGAGCGCGACGCGGGCGCATCGATTTTGTGTCTATTATACCTATCAAANCTACTATTATGTATTCTGTGCTCGCGGTCACTCAAGCACGTGGCGCGTGCCGTGCACGCTTCGCATAGCTTCTACACGCTTCTTTCACAGTGTTGCCAGTTTGGTGATTTTGTCGCTAGATTTAGTGATTTTTAGGGGCTCCATGGTGAAATTTTGGAAAAGATATCACTAGAAAAACATCTGGTGATTTTTAATGATATTTTTAAAATCTGGGGTAATTAGAGAAAACAAAGTGGCAACCCTATTTGCCCGCCCTTGAAGACGGGAATCCCCACGCCAGAGTGTAGACTAGCGCTGGGCGATTGTGCACAAAAAAACAATCGAATGAAATGACAATTATTGTACAATTGATTGCGTATTCGATTGTCGATTCATTCGTCGAAGCTAAACAACAATCGAACAAAAATCGACAATCGAATAACAATATTGCGCGCAGGACAATAAATATATCGACCCAGCGCGCGGGCAACTACAAACGCTACTAACTATCGGTGTGGGTGGCCCAGTTTTCATCAAACAAGGTATCGTATATTTTTTATTTAAAATTAATCAGTAATCGTAATAAGTGAATACTTAAAATAATATCGATTAAATTTACAGATTATTGTCTATGACTCACAGGTTACAGCACTGATGTGTCAGAGACAAGTCATAGACAATATGGAGATAACACATGATTTTAAACGTCAAGTCAATTTGTCTCACAAATTTTCATCGTCCACGTATTTTGCTAAAATAATTTGTTTCAAAGATTGATTTCAAACTTGTATAAACATGAAAATAAAGTTGGTTTCATGGGCTTGTTAAATAATGTGTATGATATTATGAACACGTAAGTGATTATGGTGTAATTGTGGATGAAAGTGTTTGTTTACATCTCTGCTGGATTCTAAAAATCAAGGTATAGTGCTATCCTTTTTTTTCTAAATATTGGTGATGCTCGGGGAATTCCCATTCCATACCAAGACATGTAGTATGCATTGTTTTGTTTGTGAAAGTGTAGTCAGTTGTTCTCTTCGGTAACGAATGTATCAGAATTATTAATTTATTATAAAGTTATATTGAAGTTCTAATTTGTGAAATAATTACTATGGATGTGCCGCTGAAAAAAAAGACTGTTTATCCTCAAAAATATCGAAAAGAATGGGAAACCCAAGAAGAATTTAAAATGTGGTTACGGCCTGTGTCAAATGATCCTACTAAAGCTTTTTGTAAGTTTTGTCATGCTGAAGTTTATGCTAGAATTGGTGACATTAAGAAACACAAAGAAACGAAGAAACATAAGGAAAAATCAGACTTGGTGAATAAAAACAAACAACTTGAATTTCTCCCCGCTTCCAAAGATAATACAAACTCACTGAAAATAGAAGGAACTTTGGCTTTATTTATTGCTGAACACACTTCCATACAGCAAATTGACCACTTAACTGAGGCTTTAAAAAAATGTATTTCCGATTCAAAGAGTGTTATGGATATAAAAATGCACAGGTCAAAGTGTAGTGCAGTAATAAAAAATGTGTTGGCTCCACATTTTAAACAGAAGTTATTGGATGATATTGACTCACAAAAGTATAGTTTACTGTTGGATGAATCCACTGACCTCAGTGTGTCAAAATTGTTGGGTGTAGTAATCAGATACTTCAGTTCCACACACAAAAAAGTGGTTTCATCATTCCTCGCCTTACAACCACTTAAAACCGCGGATGCTCGAGGAATTGTTACTGCCTTAGTCAACTGTTTAGAAGAACATAGTTTGCCTATAAAAAAATTAATTGGAATTGGGGTGGATAATGCCTCTGTCATGACGGGTATCCATAATAGCGTACATACTATATTAAAAACTGAGTATGGTTTGCCCAACTTAATTCTAGTTAGATGTGTTTGCCATTCACTTCAACTAGCTGTGTCACATGCATCAGAGCACACGTTGCCGCGGAATATAGAGTTTCTTATTAGAGAAACTTATAATTGGTTCTCACATTCACCTAAACGCTATGAACAGTACAAAGATATATATGAGACTATAAATTGTGGCGAGAAGCCTTTAAAAATATTACGCTCTTGTGATACTCGGTGGCTCTCCGTTGAAGAAACAGTGACTAGGATACTGTCTCAATGGGAAGAACTAAAATTGCTTTTTTCTTTGCATAAAGATAAATGTTTCACAGCAGACCAACTTCATTCCATGTATGCCGATGAGAAAAATTTACTTTACATGAACTTTTTAAGGAGCATCCTAAATGACGTACAAATTGGAGTAAAGACTTTTGAGAGTGAAAACGCAAATCATGTTGCCCTACTAAATACATTGATGACTTTGCTTCGTTCTGTTTGCACTAGAGTATTGATGCCGTCGGCTGCAACAACTGACAATGATTATTTAACGATTAAAATAGAAGCCCACTTAAATCCAGTTCCGTATTTAGGATATCTTTTTGAAACTCATGCACAAAAGACCTCTTTAACCGATGATGTCATTAAAGCAGTCAGAAAACGCTGCATTGATTTCACAGTGAAATTAGCGAAAGAGATTCAGCAGAGACTTCCTTCTAATTATATAATTTTGGAAAAAATGTGTCTATTGAGCGTGGACAATACTCTTCGTCAGGGGAAAGACAATCGAATAGCAGATCTAGCCAAAGAACTCGGATTTAATGACGAGGCAATAGACAAATTGCTACAACAGTGGCATGGAGTAAATTTTGTGCAATGGACAGCTACACGTGACGTTATTGACTTTTGGATTGAAGTTCGAAATTACAAAAATGCTGCAGGAATTAATACATTTCAAGAGTTATCTGATCTCGCTTTGTCCGCAATGTCCCTTCCTCATTCAAATGCCGAAGTGGAAAGAGCATTTAGTGCTATGAATATAGTTAAAAATAAACTAAGAAACAAAATGGCTGTAAACACTTTAAATAGTATTCTCTTCATAAGAAACCAATTAAAAATAATGAAGAAAACTTGTTATAGCTATGAGCTCCCGAGCGATGTGATCTCTGCTGTTGGCAAAAATTGGAAATACTCAAAAATTGATCCATCTCAACCGTCTACGTCAGTAGAGCCGTCACCGTGTCAAGATGACGAAGAAATACCAAACGAAGTATTTAATGTTGATTTCTAATTTACCGTTTTGATTTATTGTTTTTTAAATACTTAAGTTGCTTTTTAACTTGTCACTAAGATTAATAATTATTATTCTTACGATTAAAATTATGTTTCTTAACAAATACCTTGTGATTTTATTTAATACTTAACCCTTGATAAAATTAATTCGTTAGTGAATTTTGGAGATTTTTTTAAGTAATAATATGAAGAAATCTAGAGATTTTTTTTTATTTAGCTGGGGATTTTTTTTTCTGTGAGCTGACAACACTGTTCTTTCACTTCATTTTCATTTTAAGTATCATTCCAAAAGCTTCTCTCTTTATTTGATTTTTTTCTTCACGCCTTTTTATAAAGGAAATAATTCTTTTTCTTCACTAGCTGGCGAAACATTGGTAAAATTCTCTTCTAACCTTTCTTCATTTGCACAGTCGCCTTTATTATTTACATAATGGAAGATTTAAAATCATTAAAACGCACTAGAGCATCTCAGAAATCAAAGTTAACTATTTTCAAATCATATCTTGAACCACTTCTTGCTTGCGAAGACTTAAATGCCTTACAAATTCACGAAACAAACATTCGCTTAGCGAAAATCCAAGCATTATACGATGAGTTCGATAGCATTCAAACTCAAATAGAAAATGCACTCGAAATTTCAGGTGACGAGTTTGCCGAACGCGAGACCTTCGAACGAGCTTACTTTGGTGCCATCGCAGCGGCTCAGGAGCTGCTGAGCAGACACACGGCGGCCGGGCCTGCTTCTGGGGCTGACTTCGCGTCAGATATTTGATTTGATTTGATTTGATTCTGGGGCTGACTTCGCGTCGGTGCCAGGCTCGGAGGTGGCAAGTGCTGTACCAAACATTAAGTTACCAACAATTAACTTACCTATTTTCACTGGACGCTATCAGGACTGGTTAGAATTTCACGAAACATACACATCGCTAATCCACACAAACTCATCAATACCTAACATACACAAATTTCATTATTTACGAGCATCTTTAAGGGATAATGCTGCTCTTATTATTCAATCTTTGGATTTTTCATCAGAAAATTACAATGTTGCTTGGGATCTCTTGTGCGACCGTTACAATAACAATCGCATTTTAATTAATAATCATGTTCAAGCTCTGTTCAACATTGACTTTGTTACTAAAGAATCTGCAAGGGCCTTACGTAACATCATAGATATTGTAAACAAGAATCTACGATCCCTAAAAACATTAAAGGTACCTACAGAGCATTGGGATATTCTAGTCATACACATTGTATCTAACAAGTTAGACCCAGCAACAGTACGCGATTGGGAGGTTCATCGTAATACAATAAAATAATTACCAACTTTGTCTGATTTTAACAATTTCTTAAAAAATCGGGCTGACTTGATGGAGACTATGGACGAAAAACACTCACACTCACAACCGTTACGACGACACAGTGATGTCACACATGTTAGGCCAAAAACATTCATAGCGAATCAAGACACTACAAAACAAACACAAATTCCATGCCCTATTTGCAAAGGTTCTCATTCAATTTATCACTGTATGAAATTCAAATTATTACCAATTGAAAGACGCATAGAAAAGATTAAACAATTAAAACTTTGCACAAATTGCTTGCGTTCAGGGCATGATGAGAAACGATGCAAATATGGGACATGCAAAAGGTGTTCACGTAGACACAACACTATGTTACACATAGATAACAAACAGGCCACAATCTCTCAGCCACATTCACAAACAGAATGCGTAGTACTTCCTGCAATGCAAAAACAAAGGGAGACCGAATCATTTTCACAAAACAATCAATTAGACACAAATAATATTACACTTTCAACAATGCATTCAGGTCAGGTTTTATTATCCACAGTCCAAATTCATATCACAGATAAATTTGGCAATTTACACAAAATTCGTGCCCTTTTAGATAATGGCAGCACGTCTAATTTCATCACAGAAAAAAAAATAACACCGACTCCAAAAAACCTACCTACCTACTTATTTATTAGGACGAATCTATCTATATATATAAAAATGAAACCCGTTTCGCGTTGTCACGGCATCACGTGTGAACGGCTGAACCGATTTCGATAATTCTTTTTTTTAAATGTTTGTGGAAGTCCAAGGATGGTTCTTACGGAAAAAAATATTAAGAAAATCTCTACGCTAAGGCGGTACGAAGTTCGCCGGGTCAGCTAGTTAATTCACTGTGTTTAAACGAGCAAATCAAAGTCTAAATTAGTGACCGCCATCTATCGACGTGCTTTTGACGGTCGTTAACATTCATGAGAGCGAAGCCGTGAAAAGTATCATTAAAAATTTATGTAATTGAATCATTCACTGTGTTTAAACGATCAAATAGTATTCAAACATTAACCCCCTTACTAATAAAAAGATACTCAGTTGTTGATCACTGTTTTAAAATGACATTTCCATACTAAACGTTACTTTAAAACACTGTTCAACGAGCGTGTAAGTTTTATTAGTAAGGGGGTTAGATAATAACGTTAAAAACCATTTAAAAATCCTATGAGAACTTTTTCGACTTCTACACGGACGAAGTCGCGGGCAAAAGCCATTTGTAAAATCATCATCATCATCATTTCAGCCATAGGACGTCCACTGCTGAACATAGGCCTTTGTAAAATAATTAGACTAAATTATTAAAAGTGCCTACCCAAAGTCATTAGTCCACGCGGACGAAGTCGCGGGCACAGCTAGTTATTAATAACTGGTAAGTAACATAATAATATACATAAATTAAAACGAACTGTCCCACCCGTGACAGTGACAGGGGGGCGCCACCACCGTCAATACCGAATCGCTGGTTCCGATTTTTGCCACGTTGGAAACTATATACTTAGTTGAAATGATGGTGGCGCCCGCGCCCCCCTGTCAATGTGTTTGGTGACACGGTTCAGTTTAAATTAGTTCATCTATATGACTGTAAGTAATGAACAGCGCAGCCGCCGCCGGTCTTATTGATCCTTGAGGGGATAATGACATTAATTAATCAGTAAGACGTACTATGGATCGAAATAGCGATTTATGGACATATTGATTTTTTTCTTTCACAATTCCTATTTGAAAAAAATACTTATCGAACGTAACTTACGTTATTCTGATGAATAAATGTCGTTAAAAGTTTTTCTGTTAAGGCGTCTATGTCAGCGCGCACGCACACAGACGCACCGCCGCGACCGACCGGTTCGAGGAGCCCAAGCTGCAGAGCGGCGCGGCGCTGCCCGCCCCCCATTCGGGTCTCAGAGCGCGACGCGGTCGCATCGATTTTGTGTCTATTATACCTATCAAACAGTGGCGGCGTAGCATGGGTTGGCACCCGGGGCGATCACACCCCCCCCCTGAAAAGGGGCCTGCAGTTCATATTCGTGAGTTCGTTCCAATCACAAGCGCATTTCCTCTTCTCACTTTTACTTTCTAAATCAGTGAAGTGATTATTTTACCTGTCCAAGTATTATTCTAACAATTATCAATTTAATATTTTTAAAGTTAATTACCTACTTCTGACATTTTATCGTAATATTTTCAAAAGGTAACGTTCCTTTAATATTCTAAACAGAATAGTGCCTACGTATTTACTAAATTGTATTGCATTCCAAACTTTCAGAGGCACTTAAACATTTGATTTGCTTCCATTTCTGCCAAGCACCAAATCGAGATTGTTGTTTTTGCATTATAATCAAGTGAATTTTGTGTACATTACAGTTATATTGCCCGAGCGTGGCGGAACGCTCGAGCCCGCGCATGCTGGCGTGGCTGCCGGCGCTCGGCAGTCCAAAGGTCACAGCCGCGCTCGCGGTGGCTCAAGCACGTGGCGCGTGCCGTGCAAGCTTCGCATAGCTTCTACACGCTTCTTTCACTTCATTTTCATTTTAAGTATCATTCCAAAGGCTTCTCTCTTTATTTGTTTTTTCTTCACGCCTTTTNATACCTACTTTCATTGTAAACCCGCATTACATCCAATATTCAAGATTCCTGCGTTTCATTGCCTTCTGCTGCGACCTACTCACCTCACCATACAACTTCGAGCCGGATTACGAATTTCGAGCGGAATAAAATTCCGCTTGGCGAGCACGAGCAGAACACGCAGCGGCGAGGTGAAATCAAGGGCGTAGCAGACAGCGAACGTGGCAGCGTTCCGTGGCAATTCGAAACGGGAATATTTCAAACTTCAACAACGGTGACGTCTACAGTGGCGATTATTCAAGACAATCCGAGGCGCCAGTACCGGATTATTTCATCAAAACCCTGAAAAGGGGCCTGCAGTTCATATTCGTGAGTTCGTTCCAATCACAAGCGCACTTCCTCTCCTCACTTTCACTTTCTAAATCAGTGCAGTGATTATTTTATCTGTCCAAGTATTATTCTAACAATTATCAATTCAATATTTTTAAGGTTCATTACCTACTTTTGACATTTTATCGTAAATATTTTCACAAATTAACTTTCCTATAAGATTCTAAACAAAATAGTGCCCACGATTTAGTAAATTACATGTAGGTATTGCATTCCTAACTTTCAGAGGCACTTAAACATTTGATTTGCTTCCATTTCTACCAAGCACCAAATCGAGATTGTTGTTTTTGCATTGTAATCAAGTGAATTTTGTGTACATTACAGTTATATTGTCCCGAGCGTGGCGGAACGCTCGAGCCCGCGCATGCTCGTCGTGGCTGCCGGCGCTCGGCAGTCCAAAGGTCACAGCCGCGCTCGCGGTGGCTCAAGCACGTGGCGCGTGCCGTGCACGCTTCGCATAGCTTCTACACGCTTCTTTCACTTCATTTTCATTTTAAGTATCATTCCAAAGGCTTCTCTCTTTATTTGTTTTTTCTTCACGCCTTTTTATAAAGGAAATAATTCTTTTTCTTCACTAGCTGGCGAAACATTGGTAAAATTCTCTTCTAACCTTTCTTCATTTGCACAGTTGCCTTTATTATTTACATAATGGAAGATTTAAAATCATTAAAACGCACTAGAGCATCTCAGAAATCAAAGTTAACTATTTTCAAATCATATCTTGAACCACTTCTTGCTTGCAAAGACTTAAATGCCTTACAAATTCACGAAACAAACATTCGCTTAGCGAAAATCCAAGCATTATACGATGAGTTCGATAGCATTCAAACTCAAATAGAAAATGCACTCGAAATTCCAGGTGACGAGTTTGCCGAACGCGAGACCTTCGAACGAGCTTACTTTGGTGCCATCGCAGCGGCTCAGGAGCTGCTGAGCAGACACGCGACGGTCGGGCCTGCTTCTGGGGCTGACTTCGCGTCGGTGCCAGGCTCGGAGGTGGCAAGTGCTGTACCAAACATTAAGTTACCAACAATTAACTTACCTATTTTCACTGGACGCTATCAGGACTGGTTAGAATTTCACGAAACATACACATCACTAATCCACACAAACTCATCAATACCTAACATACACAAATTTCATTATTTACGAGCATCTTTAAGGGATAATGCTGCTCTTATTATTCAATCTTTAGATTTTTCATCAGAAAATTATAATGTTGCTTGGGATCTCTTGTGCGACCGTTACAATAACAATCGCATTTTAATTAATAATCATGTTCAAGCTCTGTTCAATATTGACTTTGTTACTAAAGAATCTGCAAGGGCCTTACGTAACATCATAGATATCGTAAACAAGAATCTACGATCCCTAAAAACATTAAAAGTACCTACAGAGCATTGGGACATTCTAGTCATACACATTGTATCTAACAAGTTAGACCCAGCAACAGTACGCGATTGGGAAGTTCATCGAAATACAATAAAGGAGTTACCAACTTTGTCTGATTTTAACAATTTCTTAAAAAATCGGGCTGACTTGTTGGAGACTATGGACGAAAAACACTCACACTCACAACCGTTACGACGACACAGTGACGTCACACATGTTAGGCCAAAAACATTCATAGCGAATCAAGACACTACAAAACAAACACAAATTCCATGCCCTATTTGCAAAGGTTCTCATTCAATTTATCACTGTATGAAATTCAAATTATTACCAATTGAAAGACGTATAGACAGGGTTAAACAATTAAAACTTTGCACAAATTGCTTGCGTTCAGGGCATGATGAGAAACGATGCAAATATGGGACATGCAAAAGGTGTTCACGTAGACACAACACTATGTTACACATAGATAACAAACAGGCCACAATCTCTCAGCCACATTCACAAACAGAATGTGTAGTACTTCCTGCAATGCAAAAGCAAAGGGAGACCGAATCATTTTCACAAAACAATCAATTAGACACAAATAATATTACACTTTCAACAATGCATTCAGGTCAGGTTTTATTATCCACAGTCCAAATTCATATCACAGATAAATTTGGCAATTTACACAAAATTCGTGCCCTTTTAGATAATGGCAGCACGTCTAATTTCATCACAGAAAACTTACAAAGACAACTCAACATTCCATGCTATTCAACTTCAATATCCGTTCAAGGATTAAATAGTCAATGTTCTAAAATTACTAAGAGATGCGACGTAAACATTTCGTCCCTCACAAACAGCGGTTACACAGCAAATGTAAATTGCTTTGTTGTGCCGCAAATAACGCAATTAACTCCTTCTAAATTCATCAACATAGATCATTTCAATATTCCCCCTCACATCCACCTCGCGGACCCTCAATTCAACACTCCGTCTGAGGTGCAGATGTTGCTGGGCGCAGACCTGTTTTGGCAGGTTTTGTCAAACAATCGAATACCATTAGGTAAAAACATGCCAACCATAGCTGAAACAATGCTTGGGTGGATAGTCTCTGGCCAAGTCAGAGGCAAACGCTTTCAAAACACAGTCAATTGCAATTTCATTCAAGACACTGAGCTCGAAACAAAGCTTAACAATTTTTTTGCATTAGAGTCAGTTGGCACTACTCAACAATCCCCTTCTGTGGGTGAGAGTCAATGTGAATCAATTTTCACCAAAACTACTGTCCGTCAACCAGACGGCAGGTTCATGGTTACCATACCATTAAAGGAATCTCCTAACTGTCTAGGAGACTCCGCCGAGCAAGCTCTTTCCAGATTTCATGCATTGGAACACAAATTCAAACGAAATCCCACATTCAAACAAAATTACGTAGCTTTCATGAATGAATACATTTCTCTAGGTCACATGTCAGAAAACACAAATCCAAACAACACTGAAGTTTCATATTTCTTACCACATCATGGGGTTTTGCGAGAGGATAGCACAACAACAAAACTGAGGACTGTTTTTGATGCCTCTGCAGTTACAAGTACTGGCAAGTCATTTAATGATATTCAGCACATAGGTCCTACTATACAAGAGGATTTAGTTAGCATACTAATTCGATTCCGCCAGCATAAGTTTGTTGTAACTGCAGACATAGAAAAAATGTACAGACAAATTTTAGTTTCTGAAAGCCAACGCTGCTTACAACAGATCTTTTGGCGCTCAGATCAGTCACAAGAGGTTAAACAATACAAATTAAATACCGTTACCTACGGTACAGCTTCTGCGCCATATTTGGCATGCAGATGTTTAGTGCAACTTGGCCGTGACTGCATAGATCAAACTATAAGTAAAACAATCTTATCAGACTTCTATGTAGACGATTTAGTCACTGGTCATTCTGATGAATCATCATTAGTTCAAATATGCAAAGGAATAATTAAATTAAATGGCGCTCAATTTAACTTACGCAAGTGGCATACAAACAGTCAGCTGGTACACAAAGAAATTGCAGGCAAAGACAGCAACGAAGACTTAGTAAATCTGAGCAAAAACGAGTACACAAAAACATTAGGCTTACAGTGGGCTACCAGTTAAGACTCGTTGTTATTTCCACTATCACTAACAGATGTACACAAAACAAAAATAAACAAACGCACAATTTTATCATCAATCGCTCAAATTTTTGACCCATTAGGTCTAATTAACCCCTGTATGCTACAGGCTAAACTTATATTACAAAATCTTTGGACCAAGAATATTTCATGGGACGAACCATTGTCTCAAGAAATTCAATCTCAGTGGAACTGCTTTATACAACATCTACCTGAATTAAATAATATTGAAATACCACGCAATGTTTTGAGCGATAAACCTATTAGAATTGAATTACATATCTTTTCAGATGCTTCAATTAAGGCTGTCTAGTAGTTAACGGTAGCATTATTTTGTGTCGGTGTCATAACCATAGCATTATTAGCATCATAGACTAATTTAAAGTGGCGCCACTGAGCCACCCCACTAATTAAAAAATATGTTTTTTGTCAATTATTATATAATAGGATTCGCTTTCAAATACTTGTAACGACTTAACGCTTTAATTTAACTGAAACTGAGAATATACGCAATTTTATGAAGAAAAGCATTTCAATTCGCAACCTATCAATACGCCTCTTCGAGTTACGAGCATCGCAGCAACAAAGGCATATTCTGCTTGCGTATAGTATACGCTCAATTTCTAACAATGGTGTTGTCGCAATTCATTTATTGTTAGCTAAGAGCAGAGTGGCCCCACTCAAACAGAAACTAACAATGCCTAGACTGGAACTTTGTGGGGCTCTTCTAGCTACTCACTTAGCAAAAAAGACTGAAAGTTCCCTGAATTTAACTTTAGATTCCAAATATTTTTGGTGTGATTCAACCATTGTGCTAGGTTGGATTAAGACATGTAATAAAGATAAACTAAAGTTGTTTGTTTATAACAGAATTACTCAAATTACAGAAAACTCAGAACCCTCCTCCTGGCACTAAATTCCTACAAGTCTCAACCCTGCAGACATAGGCTCCAGGGGATTAAATGCAGCTCAGCTCAAAACTTCGACTTTGTGGTGGGGAGGTCCACAGTTCCTTCAGGAAGTGAAGTTTATCACACCCACACAACCTCAAGACATACACATCGAGAACTCACAAGAAACAAAGTTTCAATGTCATTTATGTGCCAGTGAAAGCCACGAAAATACTTTCACGAGTAGTTTTTCAAATTACAGAAAATTACAACGTATTACAGCTCTTACACAACGGTTTATAAATAATTGAAAACATCCAAATAATAAAATCACGGGCCCATTAATGACATTTGAACTTGAACACGCCACACACACACTTTGTCGAATAGTGCAGCAAGACATGTTCTGTAAACAATATGCATTTCTTAATAACAATAAACCACTTCCTGCCAAAGATAAACTACTAAGTTTAAATCCATTTATCGATGAGGCAGACCTCATAAGAGTTGGCGTCAGACGTTCCAAGGGCGGCAGTATGTTAAGGCGTCTATGTCAGCGCGCACGCACACAGACGCACCGCCGCGACCGGTTCGAGGAGCCCAAACTGCAGAGCGGCGCGGCGCTGCCCGCCCCCCATTCGGGTCTCAGAGCGCGACGCGGGCGCATCGATTTTGTGTCTATTATACCTATCAAATACCTACTTTCGTTGTAAACCCGCATTACATCAAATATTCAAGATTCCTGCGTTTCATTGCCTTCTGCTGCGACCTACTCACCTCACCATACACTAAAATCAATAGTTTGGCTGGAAAAAAATATTTTGGTCGATTTCGACTAAGCCTATGGCTTATTGACTATAATCCTAAACTATCAGCGCGCGCCCAAAGTTGCCCGTTCAGAAGTTACAAGGTTCCAAAATATGAGTTAAATATTTGTCGGTAATTTAAGGTTAATTTAAATTGTTAACGTATGGAATCTTTATATTTTCGTTGAATCTTTAAAGATTTCCAAAAAAAGTCACTTTTACTAACTTTATTTTTATTTTTCAGAACCACATAACTTGTGAACGGGCAACTTTAGGCGCGCGCTGATAGTGTAGGATTATAGTCAACAAGCTATTTCATTCCATACAACGAAAATGGAAAATATTTTTTTCCAACCAAACTATTGGTTTTAAAGAAAATCTAACGACATATATTCATCAGAATAACGTAACGTATCAATAGGTATTTTTTTCAAATAGAAATTATGAAAAATATCGCTATGTCCATAAATCACAATTTCGATCCATAGTGTGACGTAACCTATCAATATGAATTTAAAAAATAGAAGTTGTGAAAAAAAAACGCTGTCCAAAATTTCGCTTTTCGATCGATCCATAATAGAAGTTTTTTTTTTTAAAACATGATGATGACATTCACAACGTTAAAAAATTATTATTTTTATCTCATAAAGATAAAAGTAAATTATGCCTGCTCCACTTTTACCTACTTTCGAGGGACCGTAATTTTTCAGTCGTACAAAACAAAATTTGACAAAAGGGCGCTACACGGGTTAAAATTCACATTTTTGTCCTTTGACGTTTCAAAATCTTTTGATTAAAANTAAAAAATAGTTCTAGTAGTATAATTACATATTCAGCTGAGAAGGGAATTATTTTCAAGTTTTGCCCAGCATATAGTCCCCACTTCAATGGCTTAGCCGAGGGATCAGTAAAATCAATAAAATATCACTTAAAGAGAGTATTGTCACTAACTCATCTTGATTATGAAGAACTCAACTCGGTATTGGTAGAAATTGAAGCAATATTAAATTCAAGGCCTCTCACTCCTCTCTCCAATGATCCTTCAGATCTAATCCCTTTAACTCCTGCGCATTTTTTGATTGGACGAACAGTAACGATATTACCTGCTCCCCAGGTACAAGATGCTCACATCAACACTCTCTCAAGATATGCAAGAACACAATCGCTGAAGCACCACTTTTGGAACCGCTATTATATGGAGTATATTTCAGAATTACAGAAGCGAAGTAAATGGCGCAGAGATGGCGGTCAACCACAAATAGGAGAGATGGTTCTGATCAAAGATGACCGCCTGCCCCCCAACCGATGGCTGCTGGGTCGAGTCACTGCTGTCTTCCCCGGCGCCGACGGTGTCAACCGTGTGGCCGATGTCTACACTTCATCAGGAACAATGAGGAGAGCCTACAACAGGCTCTGCCCTTTACCAACATTGGAACCAGACGTTCCAAGGGCGGCAGTATGTTAAGGCGTCTGTGTCAGCGCGCACGCACACAGACGCATCGCCGCGACCGGAGGAGGAGCCCAAGCTGCAGAGCGGCGCGGCGCTGCCCGCCCCCCATTCGGGTCTCAGAGCGCGACGCGGGCGCATCGATTTTGTGTCTATTATACCTATCAAATACCTACTTTCATTGTAAACCCGCATTACATCCAATATTCAAGATTCCTGCGTTTCATTGCCTTCTGCTGCGACCTACTCACCTCACCATACACCAATTATTAAAACTGAAATACTCAAACATTACTCCTTCATGAACAATATTATCTATTATATTATTTACTAGCGGCCGCCCGCGACTTCGTATGCGTGGATCCCGTTTTACCCCCTTCATCTATCTTACGCGATTTAGATTTTTTCATACAAATGTTTTTTCCCGCTAACTCCTGTTCCCGTGGGAATTATGCAATATCCTGTTGTAACTAAGCTTTAAGTTTACTAAGGTACCTACATGCCAAATTTCAAGCGTCTAACTTAAGCGGTTTAGATTTTTCATACAAAAGGGTTTTCCCGCTAATTGCTGTTCCTGTGGGAATTCCTAAGTACCTATACTATAACCTGCCCAAAAGTATGAAGAATAATTGTACCAAGTTTCGTTAAAATCCGTCGAGTAGTTTTTGTTTCTATAAGGAACATACAGACATACAGACATACAGACAGACAGACAGACATACAGACAGACAGACAGACAGTCAAAAATTTTACTGATTGCATTTTTGGCATCAGTATCGATCACTTATCAGCCCCTGATAGTTATTTTGAAAATATATTTCATGTACAGAATTGACCTTTCTACAGATTTATTATAAGTACCTTAGATATTGATTTACGGGAAATCTTCAGAGAATCTGTCAGAAAATCACGTCTAGCCTAAGAATAACTTGGCGAACTTACAAAACTGTCAATCCTTATTATTTTCGAGTGTAAAATGTTGCCTGTATAACATTAGTACCTAAGTATTACGCCTAAATTCTAGTGAATTTAAGCTTGAATTTTGGAGTTTACTCGTTATATACTTACTAATATTAAACAGCTGAAGAATTTGTTTGTGTGTTTGGTTAAATGTGCTAATCACTGGAAATACTGGTCCAATTTGAAAAAACTCTTTTTGTGTTGGATAGCCCATTTATTAGGGAAGACTATAGGCGGTATACCATCACACACACTACGAGCACCAATGAAAAATGTTGGGGAAAACAGGAAACATTATTTAAACGATTTTCACGCGTATGAAGTCGAAGTCACAGCTGTACTTACTACTAATATTTTATAGAGGAAATATTTTTATTTTTATATTTGTGTGTTTGTATTGAATAGGCTCCGAAACACCTGAACCGATTTTGAAAATTCCTTCACCATTAGAATCCAAATTATTTGATTAACATAGGCTTATTATGTTAATTACCTAATACTCGTGCGAAGCCGGGGCGGGCAGCTTGTCACTATATAGCTTATAACAAAGTCGCTTTCCGCTGTCTGTCCCTATGTATGCTTAGATCTTTAAAACTACGCAACGAATTTTGATGCGTTTTTTTAAATAGATAGAGTGATTCAAGAGGAAGGTTTATTATGTACTTAGTACCAGTGCGAAACCGGGGCGGGTCGCTAGTCTTAAATAATTAAGACTTTGTTCCTACGGCGCCGGGATGTGAGCAAACAGACGATCGACGGGCGGCATAATGAAGAAGTATCCAATTTCAAAGTATTAACCCTTTGGAACCTTGGGAAATGTTGAAATTATGTTGTCACGCGGAAAAAAGGGGCTGATTGCGGAAGAAATGTCAGTTAATTTTGTAAGACTAAAGACCGAGAAAGTATTTAAATCTTTTCGGTCAGTTCAGCTAGAATCAGCTAGATTCAACTGAATTATTATTTGACTCGTATTTTAATTTCGAAGCAAAATGGTAGCAACTTTTGAAAATGTAATTTTGATTATTAATCTCTATCAAGTAATGCAGATGCGATGCATAGTAGAGCGAGTTAGCACTGAAATTAAAATTTGTTGTATGTTAACATGAAATCTGGCAATTTTGGCTCATAAATATAAGATAGCCTTTTCTATTTGGCGTTTACATTCTGACTTTTATAATTTCCTCCATTTTTCAAAGCCGTCGAACATTCTTTAACTGAATAGCATCATTATTCAAAATGTTTGATAGGTTTTTAACAATAACGTGTTTGTTCTCATTGTCGTAGATTCTTTTGAATTCTTTTATCGTTCTTTTCGAGCAGCAGGCGCTAAGAGGTTAACAAACTTGATCGCTTAGGAAGTTGTAAACACTTTGTCCCAAGAATCAATAGCTGAATATGCTTTCGTATTTTTTTAGTTGGGGACGTATTTTTGAAGCACTCGAATCAAAATCGCATGCGAATCCCTAGAGACTTTATGCATGACAGCATACTTGTAGATTCGAACAAAATCGTATTTTGAATTCTACCAATAGAAGTCAGAGAGCAATTGACTTTCTTCTTCTTGTTGTGTCGACAACAAACTTACAGTATCAGCCGAAAACTATTCTATAAGAGTGGCGTTATCAGTAGCATTCTAAATCTTCCTTCGTGCAGTTGTTTGGACTTTATATCACCAATACAAATTTTACTGAAAAAGTATATGTAATACGTTTTCAGTTTTTGTTTCAATTTATTTATGTTAAACTTCAGTCCAAAATTTCATTTTCATAACAACACTGTTTGTGTATTTATAAATGCCTTATTCGTGAAGAAAAAAAAAATTTTCGAAAATCATTTGCTGTCGCGCACGAATTAAACTTTCGAGTCGAACGCTTCAAAAATAGTACCCCAAGACTAAAGTTTGTAGCGACGCAATTTAAAATTAAGGTACTTGATACAAATAAGGCCTACGTTCTAATAAGGCCTATACATCAGAAAACACAGATAAATAAATCCAACCGGGATAATACTTCAAGGACACGTACTCATATGCCCTACAACCCGGTAGAGTGCAAGAGTGTCCCGATCCACGATCCCAGCACCAATTGGCACGCGTTCTTCTAAGGTGGTGGGTGATTTCGTGCTCTCTTATAAAAATCTGGCGATTTCATCTTAAATTTTCGGTAAAATAACGCTGTTTTAGATTAATCTTTTCTTAGTAATCGTTTCTAAATATTTCTTACTAGCTAATAATTACCTTAATTTGTACTACTGGCTATAGATGCATTATTTGTAAATTTTTAAAGACAACAAGAGCGAGATATCTAATAAGGCCTAGGCCTTATTTCAGCATGGTAGGCCATATTGGATACTTATGTCAACACCTGATTACGGACAAATTCATTAAACTAAATGAGTCAAAGAGTAACTAAATATTTATTTAATAAGAATGTTACTAACAGCACAGAAAATAAAAAGAAAACAGAGTAAAAAAAAATTACTAAACCTGTAAAAAAAAAAAACAAAATACAAAACCAATAAAAAATAAGAAAAAAAAGCCGTATGTATAATTCTAAAGGATAGGAGAATCAAAGCTGGTATTATCATGCCTGTCTCGAAGACAATGTAGCAGATATGCTACCATAAAGGACTGCTTTTGGTGGTATCATAAAGATTGTGTAGGAGTTCGTAAAGATGATTCAGAAGCCTTTTTATGCCCTGGTTCTAACAAAAATTGAGATCTCATTTTGTTTACAAAAAATCAAGACTAAATGATGTTCCTAAACTGATTTATTTAAAAGGTTTTATGTGTAGGCCTTATTCGAACACGGTGTTTTAATAAGCCCTATACAAAAAAATAATATTGTTTGTTTTTGATATTTTTTTTGATAATTTAAGTAAAGAATCATTACTTTGTTACTATGAATATTAAATTTTATCTATAATTTATGTATTATTCTTAATAAGTGGAACTTAAGTTTATCTAGAGATATACAGTATATTTCTGTTTACTGGTATGTAAAATTTTGATAACGCAAACAAATCGACGTGTTTAATGTTATAAGACCGCATTTTGTTTAATACAACCTCAATTTTAAGGTCTACAGGCATTTGAATCATATAGGCCTTATTCCGTGTAGGTGATTTAATAAAGCCAAAATCAGTGGTTTCGTAATTTGCTTATTTTGAATAGATTTAGTTAAAAATTGTGTTATTTTTTGTAATATTATAAAAATTAAAGGATGGAAGAAGTTAATAAACCTTGTTTTTGTTGACTGGCGTTAATATTTATTGAAATATAAGCATTTAAAGTTAGGTAGGCCTTATTTGTATCAAGTACCTTACAATCACGAAGTATGAAAGAAGTTTCATTAATAACTATGGTTTTAAATTTAAAGTTGAATGAAAGTCTTTATTGGAAAATGCTGTGAAACTTCAGAAATTCTCGCTAAAAGTAATTTACATAAATTACTTTACCTATTGGAAATTTGATGTTCATTAATTTTGATCAAAAGAACTGAATGACTAGCTATTTGTGTATCTTGGTATCAATATAAGTACCTTTAAAATGGTACCATTTAAATTTTATTTATCTTCTATCAGTAATTTTGTTCTTACGATCGCTCGGAACAAATTCGGTGATTCCATACTTGAGCTCGCGAGATTTAACGAATCTAAAGATTTTTTTTAAAACCAAAATGTACAGTCTGAAGTAGTATACTGTTACATTATGGATAAATACATAATAATAACTTGCTATACGTTTCATAGCAGTAAGTCCCGTATTAATAAACAACGGTAAACTCTTCACTTTATAATCAAAGATGGGTTAATATTGGTAGAGCGAAGTAAACGTTTTTCGCCTTTAAAAAATCCCAGTTTCTACTGTGGTACACCGTAGAACAAGGCAGGCCAAACCCACCTGGCCCGCCAAGGTCTTTGAATTTGCTCGCCAGCGAGTTAGCCGGCGCGCGGTGGTATAAATGGCCTTATGAATTTAGTATAGTTTTGCTTTTGCTTTGATTTTCAAAAAGCTGTGGCCCGGCGTCGCCACAGTGTAAGAAATTTTTCTCATCTGGACTATCTATTGGGCCAGTCTTGTCGCAGACGTTTCATCTTGCGTATCCGACTGTGCCTATAGCGATACCTACCTGTTGAGCGTTACTTCACCCTCAAATATTACGCTCCAATAAACAAGTTACAGACGACAGCACATTAAGCTAAACTGGCTTCTATTCAGAAAGATTTTGCAACAAACAATTCCATTTTGGAAAAATGTCAGATTGACTGACTCACTCATCACGAAATCTCAGAAACTACAACTGCTAGGAGTCTAGAATTTTGCGTGGGGGTCCTTTTAGAACGTAGATGCTCACTAAGACGGGATTTTGCAAAATTCAACCCCTAAGGAGGTACAACGGGATCCACGCATACGAAGTCGCGGGCGGCCGCTAGTCTGAATATAATGCCTAAGACAGTCGATGTAAAGTTATTTTTTTCAGGAATCTTTCAAGCAACGTTTTCGTTTCATGGATTAATACTGATTTGCCATTTGATTCTACTTCTAAGCATTTTGGAAGCTCTTCTAGGTATATCACGAATTTGGGCCCTTTGATGGATGTCCCTAAAATTATAAATCATGCCGACCTTTTACGAAGGATACCTTTTCGATAGACTGTATTTGACAGGCTGGGAATATATTTAAGGCTAATAAAATTTATGTATTTAGTAGGTTAATTTATTAAATGGCATTTCCATGTACCTACCTACTCGTAGGTACAGGTGGGGCATTAGAAGATTTTTCTAACTTTAAGCTCTGACTAAAACCATTTGGCGAACTTTTGGATGGGAAAACTTCGTAGGTATTTTATGGAAGTTTTCTTAATAAATTATATTATGATCGTAAGTACTCGTAATTTAAGATAGGCTCAGTGACAGCCTAGGTGCGTTATTTGGTTTAATTTTCTTATTTTTACTGTTTATTACTTTAAACATTAATACTGTTATCTATTTGTTAGTTCTTAGTTGAGCAAACTCAATTGCTTTACTAGGTACCTCTATAATATGACTAATGTTATGAGCCACTGATGTATTAGATAAAATCGATTGCCATAGATATTTAGTTAAAGTTAAAGTCAAAATTTCTTTATTTGTTTAGCTAATAAATAGTACTTACAAATCGTCAAAGATGCCGGTATATTTCGTATGTTTCTTGAGCTTGGCATTTGGCATACTGGCACAGACTCCGAAAATATCAATCATTATTTTTATACTTTTTATTGGACTTTTTTGGATGCGGCTTTTTTGAAGTCGGTTTTTTTAAACGCAGTTTTATTTAGTGTAGTCTATTTAGCGTCGTGTTTGTTGGTGAGCTACATCAATTTTTTTGGTGTGCAAACAAAACTTCTTAGTTGAGCAAACTCAATTGCTTTAATTTGATTTACTTGAGTTAAGGTCCTATGTCCCCTAGAAGGGGCAGAGGGCGTCCACAACTGAACAGTCCTCCATCGCGTTCGGTCTTGAGCTTCGCGTTTGATCTCGCTCCAGGTCTTGCCGATTTTATTTGCCTCGTCTGCTACAGCTTGCTTCAATTTACTACTTCTATAATTGTTATGAGCCACTAATAGATATTAGATAAAATCGATTGCCATAGATATTTAATTCAGTTAGACAATTGCTTCTATTTAATTAACTACAGACAGACTTGGTAACTGGTAACTAGATAAGTCTGTCTACGACGATATCTTGATACGACATTCCTTTAATAAATTAATCGAATGTTTTGATAGCATCAGCTATAGTTGAAATTAACGTTTAATTTGATGTTACTTAAGTGGTAGTAATTAGAAAAGTAAATTAACTTACAGTTGAAAATCTGATACTATAGCTGGGTTAAATAGATATAGTTATTTATTTAGGTTCTCTGATACGGGACCAGTTATTTATTTATTTAAAATTATCAAAATATGAATTTCAGATACAAATTAAGTTATATTGTATGATTCCTTGCTTATATTAAAGGTTGGTTGATTTTTATTCAACCCGGATATCCTGGGTTTGATTCTGAGATAAAAGACAAAGTACTTACCTATTACTTTGAAAATCATGCGGTTGGAACAATAATATGTATGTCATGCTCAAATAAACACGATTTTCGGATACAAAAGATGAAGGTTTTGACTATTATCTTACCTAAATCTGTCGCGGTAACAATAATGTTTGCATGTGTTGCGGTAGTTGAATAATAAAATCAGTTGTTCTCATCATTATCATCATTTCAGCCACAGGACGTCCACTGCTGAACATACCTCCCCCAATAATTTCCTCATCGCCCGGTTGTAGGTAACATCCAGCGCCTTCCTGCTACCTTAACGAGGTCATCGGTCCACACCATAGAAATACAAGAGAGATGCCAAGATGCCAACTAATGTGCTGAGTTCGAAATTCACGCACACAAAGTAATTTATTTATTTATTTATTTGATCACCAACAAGGTAACATTATAGCGTTCACAAAAGTAACTTAAAATAATGATTATCAAAATATGTGCTCATTTATCCACTGCGGTATCAGTACTCAACGTTCGAATAATCTTTAGTACCTACTACGCAAGCAATGTAAACTGTTTACATTATGACGTCGCTGCTGTCATCATTGCTTTCACGAGCAATGTGTTCTGTTTTTGGGCATATTGCTGCGACACCGGCTCCGCCCCCTAGTCACATCTCCCTTTAGTATCTGTGATCTGTAATCCACACAATACAAATCTAATACCAACCTTATTCCGCAGTGGTCGAGCACTCGCGCCCTCGCGTCTGCTCGCTCCCCGAGAAGCCGTACAACCCGCGCATCTCCGACGACCTGTACCGGCTGCGCACCTTCAGCATCACGACCAAGGGCGGCGTCGTCAACTGCGGCGACTCCATCTGCAACCGCCGCAGCCGGTCCAACACCTCCGTCAACTCCACCAATAGCAGGTAAGATATAGTAAACCTACAAGTAGCTAAGACTTCGCGAAATAGAATGCGTACTAGCGCGCTCAAGAGCGCTAGCATGACGCGCTATAGCGCCGAACTGTGTCGGTAGAATGTGGATAGTGTCATGTTAAACAGCGCCAGCGCTAGCAGTACGCATCGCTCTGACTGTGGATGGTTTGACGCCGGGTTCTACATTCTACCAATATCCGCACTATAGCGCGACATCAGGTCAGCGCTCTAGCGAGCGCTAGTATGCGTTCTCTCTGGCAAAGCCTGTAGTATAGTACGGGTGTCTATAGGCGACGGTAATCACATACCATCAGGTGATCCGTTTGCTCGTTTGCCTCCTTTCACATAAAAAAAACATAGTACATTCTACCAATATCAGCTCAACAGCGCGACGTCAGGCTAGCGCTCTAGCGGACGCTAGTGTGCTCTCTCTCTTTGGTAAAGTCTGTAGTATAGTACACCTCCTCGAGAAGCCGTACAACCCTCGCATCTCCGACGACCTGTACCGGCTGCGCACCTTCAGCATCACGACCAAGGGCGGCGTCGTCAACTGCGGCGACTCCATCTGCAACCGCCGCAGCCGGTCCAACACCTCCGTCAACTCCACCAATAGCAGGTGAGATATAGTAAACCTACATAAGTAGCTAAGACTTCGCGAAATAGAATGCGTACTAGCGCGCTCAAGAGCGCTAGCATGGTGCGCTATAGCGCCGAACTGTGTTGCTAGAATGTGGATAGTGTCATGTCAAACAGCGCCAGCGCTAGTAGTACGCATCGCTGTGACTGAGGATGGTTTGACGCCGGGTTCTACATTCTACCAATACCATTCAGCGCTATAGCTCGACTTACACCTCTGTCAACTCTACCAAAAGCACACCGATGTTAATATCTTCGGACAGTTTAACGCTATTTTAGGCATATAAGCTTTTGTTTGCGAGCCTGGCTGAGACAGGAGATAAATACGAAAGTCGAATAACGGGCGCGATCTCCTGTCACAGTTGCTGATCGCGGTTGCTTGTTTCTGTCTCGCGCGGTGCAATCCACTGCCTTTACACAGCAATATTCTAGTTTTAAAATGTATAGAATATTTGTTCCCCTTTCTTAAGAAAGAGAAAAGAAGAAATTATATTTTATACCAGGCTGGCGACAAAATACTTACTAGTAGTACTACTACAACATGCATGTAAATATTTCTCTACTCAAATAAAATATGTACCTAGTATGCAATGATATCACAAATACACAAGCTTTGTTCGGAGTCTGTGATGATAGCACATTAGTACGAAAATATCCAGGTGTTTCGGTTTTCTATCACAGGGCGTAGCCACATTCCTTGGTATAGTAAACAAAAGAAGTTTTATCCTCGTGTCGCACACGCGAGCGGGTCATCATTCACCAAATTTGGGTCGTATTTAGGAACGATTCATACTGAGCGTACATAATGCCATTTCTAAAAAAATCATAAGTAAAGAATCCTTTGCTGCATTCGATAACATAACTACTGTATACGTTAAAAAACCGTTTAAACCTTGGAAAAAGCGTTAAGCGTTGCCTTAAAGTTAAACCTTTCCCGTGATCAACTCAATCAAGTAGGTACATCTTACCAATATGTATTTTGAGACCGATACAGTGTGGCAAATGCTGAGAAGACACGCCTCAACAAACTAGTTACATTTGACTGACTTACTAAAAGTCAAATAAGTTTTACCCATATTTTGTGACCGATACAATGTGACAACTGCTGAGAAAAAGCGCCGCAACAAAATCAGTCACCTCTGACTGCCAGTTAAATAAATTAGATTCAATCATAAGTTTCTTGAAAGATAATAAATTAAATAACTAGTGAAACAGTGCAAAAGAGAGGCTGAAAAAATGAACGAGATTCTTTCCCCACTTTACATGTAGGGGAGCTATCCTAAAAAAATGTTTTTTTTTTTCAAATTTTATTTTACCGTTTTGTCGGCGTGATTTGTAAACATACCTCCACAAAATTACAACACCCTAGTGGCAATAGTTTCCAAGCAAAACCTCGGACAGACAGACAGACATATCGAAACTATAAGGGTTCCTTGTCAGGACTACGGAACCCTAAAAATCAGTGCCAGCAACTATGTTGTCCCATGTGGGGTAGGGAAACCTATATTTGGAGGGTGTCACGTATTTAAGTAACCTGAATAAAAAATTGCTACTTAGAGAATTTGAATACATTATGGGGATAATAACAGGTTTAAACACATTTTGGGGATCGCATTTGTTAAAAGCATGTAAAATGTAATATTATTCTTTAGTATGAAGCGTTCTTAATGAGCCTTATAAGGCGCCGAGTTATTTGTGTTTTGCCTGGGGTGACGCGAAACGTGTTGGAAAAATGGGACATTTGCTGGTCTTTATCTTCGTCATACTAATACAATTACATATAATAACTCCGTAAGGGCGGCTAGTGGCGAGCTATACAGGGTGTACCAAAAAATGTGTCAAGCTGAAGCCCAAAGGTAGAGCGTCACAGGGCATCCTGTATAGGAAGAGCGCTGTAGAAAGATAGGTTTGCTAATTTTTATTGAGCTTTAATTTATAGGCTTAAGCCAAGATATTAAGTTGTAATAAGATGTGGCTACAGGTACTCGTAGTCGTAATGTAGAAAATCTTAAACTATAATCTACGAATTTAAAAAAGTATCTAACTTCAATTTATCGTACTGAAATTAATTTGTTCTGCAAATAACTTTATTTTGTCTTTATCCTTAACTTGCTAAGATAATTTGCGATTAGTAATGATAACATTAACTCCTTTTATGCAAGTTACATTACGTTAAGAGTAATGAAAAAACCAAATTAGATTTCTGTCGAAAGGAATTCACTCCAACCTCGCCTTAGCTGATTAGAGTCGCCTGCGATTTGCTTGGATGGAGACGAAAGTACAAAGGACTTATTTTGGAAGCATTCGACTTCTGAATCGTATACGAAATTTGGACAAATCTAATTGCCTTTTGATTAGGAAGTAGGTAAATTCAATAGGTAAGTAAACACTAATTTTATATAATCTAAATTCGACAAACTTTCCTTCTGTCGCATAGTTTTGTCTCTATCATAATAATTGTTGGCAGACCAATAAAATTAATAAATTCATAAATAATGATTTTTCCTTTAATTAGTAGGTAAACTAAAACCAAAAAGCTAATTATATTAATCTAGGTTATACCTTTGTAGGATTTTCAAAATCCATTTCTTACAGAAAAAAAAATCATAAAAACCGAAACGTAAAAATCGTATGCGAGTTTGAATTCGAATGCTTCCAGAATACATCTCCTGATATGTTTGGGTTGTATCACCCAGGAGCGTGTTGGCGACTAATTTGGTTAGACGAATACGAGCTTCATTCATTTGCTTCTGCCATGTATACTAATCTAATATGTAATGAAAATTATAAAGGTATACTCACCTTAATTCGTGCATTCGCGTGGCGCACGATGTCTACATTGATTGACATCTTAAAATCCAATCAACTTGTCCAGTTGGCTCTTTAGTTAGATTGAATTTTAAGATGTCAATCAACTTTAATTTATTAAACAAGCTGACTATTTTGTTATCACTTTGAAAAATGTGAAAATTTATTGTAGTTTGATACATAGGTAAAAGTAGGTATGATTGTATTAATTAGAGCTAATTTCCGAACTCTACCAAGTTGTCAAGAAAATTACCGAATCGATTTCGCTTGCTCACAAGTAGTTAAGTTTCAGCAAGATATTGTCAATAGTTTACTTATTGTCCTCTTTTAGGAGTGATCCGTCGTTTGGACAAAAATAGGCGACATGACCCTACATATTTATTGTTACGTAACTATTTATATGAATGGACAGTCATTTTTCACCATTTGGCCTAACTTCCTGCAACAACTACTGCACACTAAATAATACTGATCTTACTGCACCTATCTCAGTTATTTCTTACTACCCTGCAGAATCATTAAGCCAATTAGACCCTCGGGACCAATTGTTAATAGTTAGTTTGTCTTAGACTCTAAGTTTGAGTGATGTGGCTCAAAACGTTACAATATTCATACGAGCGATTGTCTGTCCCTACTCTGAAATACACTCACGTATGAATGTAAATTCAATAGTGGATTCTAATCTTTGAATTGTCTTAATATTGAAATTCAACCAATAATAATTGAGTTTGAAGTTTGAATCAAGTCGTAAGCTTCGTTTTATTCGACAGAAATATTGAAATTCTAATGGATTTTTTAAAATTCAAATTAACTGTCTCCTTTGTAGGTAAATGATACAGCATGTAAATAAGTATACCTGTCCGATTCTAAAAGTGATTATGGTGCTCGTTTTTTTCATCAACATCAAAAACAATACTACCAGAATCGACCAAATTGTATCAACTAAACGAGAAATAAATAAAGCAGTGGATTTTTTAGTTTTCCAAGTTATTTCTATACAAAAAGTTGCTGTACTTAAGTAGTACGTTGCTGATCATGCATTATTATTGGTATAACTATTGAAAATAAACCAATCAAAAGCATCAATCTATGTCGACATTTCAGCGTCGTTTCGTAATTCGGAGTGTAACAAATCCAAAATGGCTGGTGTTGTATCAGATTAGCAGATTTGTGAGTGATCGCCGCGTTGCGTGACGCGCTTGCGTGAGTGCGGAATAAAATCCTACGATTTTTTGCTGATTTGGACAAGGGGTTCCGTACATTCCCTACTCCTAGGGGTTCAAGTCTAAAAAATCATTTAATCAGTTCTAATTTCAAGAATCTGATTTATTCTTCAAACGATTGTTTTTTTCGAAGTTGATATAATATTAACTAATCTACAGGGTGTTAGGTAAATGTATTTATAAGCTGACACTAGCCCATGTTAACATAAAATATGCATATAAATGGTATGGTGAAGTCAGAAAATTGATATCATCATTTTAATTATTTAAATTTTCATACAAATCTGATTTCATAAATTTTATTTTGTATGAAAACCCATTTACCTAACACCCTGTATATTATGTGGAAAATCTAATCAGTTCTAATTTCGTAAAACTGTAAATTCATGTTCATACACAAATTGTGTAATAAGTAGTAGATACTATGCAAGAATTTATATGATAATACACTAATTTATTATTATTCTATGTTATTAAGATATTCAGTGTCTCATCATAGAGAAGGCCGTAGCTTGAAAACCGATATTACTTGCTTACCTATATGAAAACAATAGACCATACTAACAAAGGTTTTCTTGAAACTAACAACAGAAACAGTTAGGTATACCTACTTATCTAACATGATTGACAAGTAAATAGATTTGCTTGCGATAATGTAAAATGTTTGATATATCATGAATTTGACAGTTTATGAGAGCATAATACGTGATTACTCTTAATACTTACACATCACATGAACCGAAACAATCATCATCATCATCATTTTCAGCCATAGGATGATAGGATGTCAACTACTGAACATAGGCCTCCCCCAATGATTTCCACAATGGTCGGTTGGTGGCGGCCTGGATCCAGCGCCTTCGTGCTAACTTTATGAGGTCGTCGGTCCACCTTGTGGGTGGACGTCCTACGCTACGCTTTCCGGTTCATGGCCTCCACTCCAGAAATTTGTTGTTGTCAGTTGAAAAGAAACAAACAAAAGACTTCTATTAATTACCTCTCAAGCCTTACTGAAACAAAAAACAACACAACTTTTCAAATGACTGTCTAACTTAACTCAAGTTTTGGCGAAAGAAGCACAGACTTGGCGGGCTATTAAGATTGATATATGCCATTTGCCAAGTCCTTGGCTTGTACCTTGGCTATTTCGGGTCGTTCACCCCCGATCGATCCCCCTGGCTCCCTTGACTTCCTTAGGGCGAAGCTGATTAATCGACGTGCCTAAAATATATTAATTATGTCACTCGTCCTGGGTTTGATTCTTCATTGGTAAAGTGCTGGATTTGGTACTTAAATAGAGTTCTTGCAACATCCTTGTCTAAATTATTATTATAGTATACTAGCTTTAGCCCGCGGCTTTACCCGCGTGAAATTTAGTTTGTCACATATCGTCATAAATTATAGCCTATATTATGTTATTCTGGGTTATAAAAAATAATACTGTGAAGTTTCAACAAAATCCGTTCAGTAGTTTTTGCGTGAAAGAGCAACAAACATCCACACAAACTTTCGCATTTATAATATTAAGTAGGATGAGTAACGCCCGTATTCACAAACCATGCTTGCTTAAGTGAAGCAGCAAATCGAACGCACAGCGTTGAATAGAGCTATGTGATTGGTTCGTGTGTCACCCTGTGCGTCCACGCGCACTGTGAGACCTCATAGTAATGTTTGTAAGTATTTACGCCCGCCGTATGGGCGTGAGTGGTGTCGGTCAATGTAGGTTCTGACCACTGTACCTACCTATCTCTTATCTAAAAAAAACATAGGACATCTCATAAAGTCTCTAAAAATAATTTTCCTGTCGGCTAAAATAACAATAATAAATAAACCAATATAAAGTGACATTGCAAGTTATCCGAATGGCATAAAACGTTAGCGTCTATAAATGATAAATTACACACTTTACGCGACATAAAGATAGGGTTGCCATCTCTAAAATGTGGCACTAGAACAAGACGCGTGAAAACCCCAGATTTTGGAGCTCCCGGACAAGTCAGCAGGTTATTTTAAGAATGCAATTTTTATCCCGGACTGCAAATGAAACCCCGCCCGGACGCCCTCTAAACTAGGACAAATCCGGGGAAACCCGTACGAATGGCAACCCTACTAAAGGGTACTGTGTGCGTCATGCAGGCCACACGCTGGGAGGGCTTGACATGACTTGATGGGGAATTGATCTGCCCATAAATTTTATTGATACTTTTTATAGATCATAAAGAGACTGAAAGAAATAAGACTGCTGCAGATGCTAATTACGTAAAGGTATGTTTACTTTACCAATAGTACAGTAAACACGTCTGTGGTTTAGTGGTAAGACCACCTGACTCAGACCCAGAGGTCCGGTGTTCAATTCCCAGTAGGGGCAAAGTTTTCTGCTCGGTTTGGTCGGTGGTAAGGCAAAGGCTGACAATAGACCGAGTTTCTTGCGCTGCTTCTTCTCAGCACTGGCCCATTTATTATCCCTAAGCAGTGGTAGGGTTAATACTGGGACGTGTAAGTGCTTTTTAAAAGCCTGTTTGCAAAAATAAATGACTTTTATGAGTTTATTTAAGTCCGTCTGGCTAGCTACCACCATCTTGCCTAACTAAATAAGTCTGTCACTATAACAACAATGTTAACAGCATAGCCAGTTCCTCTGTAGTTGAGAATACCGCGTGAAGTTCACTTCCATCTTCTGATCATCACTTTCCATCAGGTAAAATGCAAATCAGTAGCTTCCTCATTGTGGATAAAAAGTGGGCAAATGCGCAAAGCGTAGGTACTTAGTAAATAAGGCCCATGCTCCATTTGCCTTTGGTAAATTAGAGAGTAGCTCCTGTTGTAAAGACTAAAATAACCTGATGACATAGAGATATAGAGAGATGCCAGCTAATTCGCTGAGTTCGAAACTCAGTGTGGTGACGGCAGAGTAGAATACATTTGTCACCAACCCCTACTCTTCCCGCGGGTGTCGTAAGAGGCGACTTAGGGACTACACATCAAACAGAGAATGGGCAGCAGCGCTCTCTGAAAAACATCAATCTTTTAAACTGCGATCTCCAACCCGCCTGCCAAGCGTGGAGATTATGGCAAAACCCTCCACTATAGTGGAGGAGGCTCATAGTCCAGCAGTGGACTGTAAAGGGCTGTTGATGATGATGATGATGAAACTCAGTGTCGTATCAGAAATTCACACACTCAAAGAAATCAAAATATGTGCTCATTATCCACTGCGGTATCAGTAATTAACGTTCGAATAATCTTTAGTACTACGCAAGCAATGTAAGCTGTTTATATTATGACGTCGCTGCATTGCTTTCACGAGCAATGTGTTCTGTTTTTGGGCATATTGCTGCGACACCGGCCCCGCCCCTTTGTCACATCTGCCTTTAGTTTCAGTGATCTGTGCCTGATGATGACATTACTCCACAGGGCGTCGGACCGGTCGCCTTTCGACGGGTCCTGCTGCTCGGGCTACCGGCCTGTGGACTCCGCGAGCCTCACCACGCCGGACGAAGACGATCTTGACCAGGTAATCTATCAAATCATCATGATTATCATTTAAGTCATATCTTGTTGTTTCTTCTCAGCACTTGCCATATGTTTGTCTCGAAGCGCTGGTAGGGCCCAAATGATAAGGAGACATGTAAAGTGCCCCATAAGGGCTACCTTTTCTTTTTTTATTATTTTCTATTGACGTTCATAAGTGCCACTTGTGGTCTAAACTGAATAAATATTTTTGATTTTGATTTTGATTTTGATTTTGATTTTTGATCTTGTTTAATGTATTTCCTGTTTTTCTTCCGACACGTCTTCTTCTCAGCGCCAGTCCATATGTTATTGTCTTGAAGTGGTGGTAGGGCAAGCTAAATTTGGGAATGACCTGGAAAAATACCTAAGCCTAAGTACTGAATTTGATTTTGATTGGACGTCGACAGCTAAAGATAGACCTCCCACAATCATCTCCAGATAGGCTGACTGGAAGCGTACTGTATCCAACGCCTTCCACCTAATCTTTACTAGATCGTCTGTCCACATTGTGGGTGGATGTCCCACGCTGCGCTTGCCATTTACGTGGCCTCCAGAATCTATAATGTTTTCTTCTACTTAAAAGAACAATAAAATTCTTAAACAAGTCACCACCTAACGGCCAAAATGTTGTTGGTTCAAATCCCAACGGGGCTATCGGTTTTAAAAGAGAAGATCATGTTTTAATTTGTCGTACCTAATTTATGAAAATATTTAAATAAGAAAAGACAAGAAACCTTTATTATTATTTCTGAGAAGAATATCCGGTATTACATAGTTCAGCTATTATTGTACACTTATTTTAGGCTTGTTTAAGTTTATTAAATTAATTACACACTGATCTTATTATAGTTTAGACTCATTATTATAATTTAGACGTCAAATCCAAAGATTGCGTGGCAGTAGGTTGAGAAGGTATTAATTATGTAGTGACGTGCTAATTCTAGACTAAATTAATTATAACAACACTGAGCAATGTTATAATTAAACTACAATTATGATAGCATCGCCTCGCTTATGTAATTGGTAATGTGAATTTAATGACTAGTTTGTAGTCCTACATGGTATACAAACGAAAGCACACAACCCGGTCGAGTTAACTGCGCACCTGGCAGCCGTGACGTCACATCGACGCTCTGGTACGGACGGGGCCAATACGCGGAGGTGTGCGGGTGAGTGCGAGCACACAGACGCACACACTGACAAAATCCGGCGCAACTCCCCGATAATCCACGATAAATTTTGTCAGTGTGTGCGTGCGCGCCGCATACGTATTGGTGCGCTCACATACAAACCGCGCTCGGTGCGTTTCTATGAAGATAACCTACTCATTTGTATTTACTCTGGTGCGAGGGAGAGTCGCATACCAGCGAAGTGGGCAGTTAGCTCGATCGGGTTGTAAGGACAAACACTGTAGCATCTAAAGTACCTGTCGTAGAGGCTATATTGCGACATAAATGTATAGACTGACGCCCGTATTCACAAACGATGCTTGCTTAAGTGACGCAGCAAATGGATCGCACAGCGTTGAATACAGCTCTGTGATTGGTCCGTGTGTGACCCTGTGCGTCCACGCGCACTGTGAGACCTCATAGTAATGTTTGTGAATACGGACGCGACTTGTTGTTAACTGTATATTTTATACATATTATTCGTTAGTTTACATCGAATATTCGTTACGCGTATAGCGATGTTCAATACCTTCGCTCCACTTAAAAAGTTTGTTGTACAAAGAGTTTTGTCTTACAGTTCGGATAGGGTTGTCTAAGTTGTCTTTATTTGAATATTATTGAGTAACTAGGTATTTTCTACCCGCAACTTTGTTTGCGTAGATTTAGGAACATTTAATTTTGTAAACCTTGGGGGAACCCTTTGTCCAGCAGTGGACGTCATTTGGCTAAAACGAACGAACGAACGAATTTTGTAATACTTATCTTTGTCTTATTATTTTTTTCTTAGAGCCACTCATTGTAAAATAAAATTTAATTTTTTTCATAAAGATTCTTCTTATTTGGATTATTAATCATTCTTCTGTCTTGTTTTTAAGACTTCTGCATTTATATTTGTTTAAAAGTTAACACATGAGCGTTAAACTCAAATCGGTAGTCCCAAAACTATAAGATTTACTTAAAATCAAATAGTGAAACTCAATTTTTTACCGTTTCCGAGGGAAATAAAAAAAAATAAAAGCTTTTTATGTCAGAAATGACTAATTGTGAGACCTAACCATTAACTGTATCCATCTCCTGTACCACATTTATAGCAAATAAATGATGATTCTGATTCTGATTCTGATAAAAGCTTTTAATAAATATTTAATAAGCTGCAATGTTTTGGAAATTGTTGTGTATACCTGTAATTGGCAAACATATTATTTAAACTAAAACCCTAATATGTGTTGTATACTGTGAATGTCTCAAATGTGTATTGCTGTTGGTGTACCTTTATCAATAAATAAAATAAAATAAAATTTAAACTGAGAAATCTCACCCGCAAGTTTCTACAGTTACTCCGTGACCATGGCGCTTGCAACAGTGTGCAGTGCCGAAATATCGGAAACTCAAAATTAAGGTTCATGGTAGCAAACCCGTAAATAATTATTATTATTTATTGACAACCCTAGCTTGGAATATTAAAAACTTTTCATCGAACTTGTTCGTGATGGAGCGCAAACATCGCAGTTCGGCACCCACGGGTAAAAGGTATTTACAGGTAAATACTCATCTTTCTGCTCTCTTTTTCATACCGCGTGTGTGTAACAGGTCATTTCCCTAGAGTCTCTCAAATAAACTAAGAGTAGGCGCACACCGTTGATTTTTAGTTGGCCGATAGTTGTGCCCGATTTCAAATTGTATGAAGAATCGGCTAAATCGAATCGGCGTAGTGTGCGCAATCTCATACATGCCCATACTGATCAACAGCCCGACTAAACTATCGGCCGACGAAAAATCAACAGTGTGCGCCTACTCTAACTGCCTAAAAAACTGAAAGTGCCTTTCGAAACACGACGGGCTCATCTTTCGAAAATGCTGTCGGACTTTTGTCAGAGATGTGCTCTTTACACATAGGTATTATTAATTTGGACAATAAAATGGACCAAATTGTCAAACAAGGCTGTATGTTTCTTTAATAAAGATAAATAAAATACATTAAGGTCCGCTTTTTTTTCCTAATATTAAGTCACAACTAGATACTATTTAGCAAACGCTCTATTCTTCTTCTTCTTATCGTGTCCACAACAAACCCACACAGTGTCTGCCCAAACTCCGCTACAAGAGTGGCGTTACTAGAAACTATATTTCGACTCATACGATCTCATTTCATGATATAATTTTCATTAGATTAATGCATCAAATTTTGCGGTGAAGCGGATTGATTTACAAAGTGAAACAAAGGATTTAATGTAAATAGGTATTTAGTATCTAATTAGTGAAATGAAGCGGCATTTGGAGTTTGTTTCGTAATTAGGGACATAATTGGAGAGCGAGCTGGAAATAGCAATCGTTTTTCCCGTGAAATCTATATTTTCATCAGTCTTCCTTTTATATTTATCTGTACATACATTGCACTTGTTTGTATACCTATATATTGATTTATTGATAGCTAATATTGATTTTGAAGTAGGTCGTAACATGTTTCTGGGTTTCTGGACTGACTAAATACCGGCCGGTATTCGTGGCCGTAAAAAAAAATTAGATGTCAAAATTGGACCAATCCGCTTATTTCATTTTATTATTTGAAAAATAATGTAAATTACGTTGAAATTCCAAGAAGGTTGAAGTGAAAAATTAGGAAAGTTCCTTGGAAACCTTCCCGGAAACCGAATGTCCTTATTTCTATAGTAAATGATATGATAAGGAGTTCTATAGGTAGGATTACTTCCTACTAATATTATAAATGCGAAAGTTTGGTTTGTTTGTTACTCTTTTACGCAAAAACTACTGAACAAATTTTGATGAAACTTTACAGTATTATTGTTTACTAGCGGCCGCCCGCGACTTCGTACGCGTGGATCCCGTTTTACCCCCTTCATCTATCTTACGCGGTTTAGATATTTTCATACAAATATTTTTCCCGCTAACTCCCGTTCCCGTGGGAATTTTGCAATATCCTGTTGTAACTAAGCTTTAAGTTTAGTAAGGTACCTGCATGTCAAATTTCAAGCGTCTAACTTAAGCGGTTTAGATTTTTCACACTAAAGGATTTTCCCGCTAATTCCCGTTCCCGTGGGATTTTCGGTAATTCCTTGTTGTAACTAAGCTTTAAGTTTATTATGGTACCTACATACCAAATTTCAATTTTTCATACAAAAGTATTTTGCCGCTAATTACCGTTCCTGTGGGAATTTTGCAATATCCTGTTGTAACTAAGCTTTAAGTTTACAAAGGTACCTACATGCCAAATTTCAAGCGTCTAACTTAAGCGGTTTAGATTTTTCATACAAAAAGATTTTCCCACTAATTCCTGTTCCCGTGGGAATTCCTAAGTATCCTATAACCTGCCCAGGAGTATGAAGAATAATTGTACCAAGTTTCGTTAAAATCCGTCGAGTAGTTTTTGTTTCTATAAGGAACATACAGACAGACAGACAGACAGACAGACAGACAGACAGACAGACAGACAGACAAAAATTTTACTGATTGCATTTTTGGCATCAGTACCGATCACTAATCACCCCCTGATAGTTATTTTGAAAATATATTTCATGTACAGAATTGACCTCTCTACAGATTTATTATAAGTATAGATAACATGACGATCTGTGACAAACGAAATTTCACGCGGGTGAAGCCGCGGGCAAAGGCTAGTTTTCACATAATTCCTATTATTATGTATAGAATTAATATATTTTTTACAAACTTAGTGATGCGTTATAAAAGCAAAATTTTTGGTGCGTTTAAAAGTTCGTGCGCTTAGAGGAATAGAGATGTCCAGTGCCTAAGGCCTGTGTGTTTTTAAAGCCTAGGTATTTACAGAAAATAAATGACTTTTAGAGGACTAAAAGTACCCCATATAAAAAGTACAAAAAGGTATCTATCCTCTATGGACAAAAACTCCTCGTCTGCTTAGGCCTTTATAACAACAATATAATGCTTGTCTTGTTTCAGATCCCAAAGTACCGAGTGGTGTTGTTGGGCGACGCCGGCGTCGGCAAGACGGCGCTAGTGTCGCAGTTCATGACGTCAGAGTACATGAACACGTATGACGCCAGTTTGGGTATGTCTTTGATTATTCTATTGCATGAGGTATTAATGTCGTCATTATGTAGGTAGGTAGGTGGAATAGTATAGTGTTACACACAGAAAATAGAAAAATCTAGGTATTATTATGAAATTTTTGATTAATCAATTTAGGGTAGATTCGACCAAACAAGAGTAAATATTAATTTCAGATCGTTAGTTTTGATATTTTCCCATACTGAAAGATAGCAATGTGTCAGATACCAGGAGTTATTTTGGGATAAAAGTTTGGTCGAATTGGGCCTTAAAAAGACAACATGTTAATTTAACCTATGTAGGTACCTAGTTGTTAAATTAACTACAATAACTTACTCAAAGCTTCAGATTTAAATTTTGAAAAATATACTCAATGATGACCTAAAATGTCTTAACTGTCTACCTTAATAATAAGTAGTTATTGTAAGCGATAGTAAAAGTACCTACTTTCCAAAGTTGGACTAAAAATGTACACTTCTACTACTTTTTATCACTGAAATACCATACTTTGCAGGCATGCCTTTGCTTCATTATTCACTTTGTTAAACACTGCAGAACAAAGTGGTTAGATTGCATGAAGTTTTGTCTGCGGTAGGCGAGGAATTTGATGTAGTTAATAGTTCATAACATGAGTAGTTTTACCAGGGAATATAGGTACTAAGGTTAAAACTTAGTTGTAAGAACTTTGAGGGAAATGGAAGCAGAATGTTGCGTACTTCACCTCTATTCTCGTAACAAAATTATTGGTAAAATATGGTTTCAATAGAGCCTTGCTAGCGCAAATGTGTCAAACAGTAGAATTTTAAATATTTTTTTTTATTTCAAATAACCGATGCAGTGATTTTGAAGTTTCGTCTTACTTAAATTGCTATTTTGAAGCCACGCACGATAGCCACGCACGATTGTACGTCCGAAATGGGCAAACTGTCGATTCCTGTGTTATTTAACATCCATGTAACAACAATGTATGCACAGTTTTGACAATAAATGACTATCTATCTATCTATCTACCTAACGGTGAAAGGGTCGGACTGACCGACTCGACATCTGAAGGAACGGTCTATAGTCCCGTTATTAATTACAATGTTTATATTGTTTGATCAATTTATCTCTCACTTGTAGCGAGGTGCTGGACAGAGAGAGAGAGAGGAAAAAACGAAAAGGCTTTAGGGAACTCCGATTGTCAACGTATACAACGTATTTGGAACCATAGATAGGGAATATTGTTGCACTTGATTAACGTAATCAAAACGGCTTATTCCCAAAGATGGTCGCTGGCGGCTACAGATCTATTGTTTTCAAAAATGTCAGTTCATACTTTAATTCCCACGACATTAAAAACGAAAAAGCATTTCCTTAGTATTTTAAAATTTCATGGACCCGGTGGGAAAAGAATAATAGAGTCGGACCTTTGGGAATAAGCCATCAACATATCTGGCGAATTTTAAAGTAAGTTAATGGTAAAGGTCAATTTTTACCCTCGAAATAGTGAGATATTCTAGTTGCTCCAAACTCAATCTTTGAAATGGAATATTAATTCGCGTTAAAGTCTAAAAAACAGACCCTCATCACCGCGACGTTAAAATAAACTCGATTAGTACGCAATTTGCGTGGACACAAAATGAAAACAGGTTACCTACTATCGGGGAATGAGTTAAACTTGGAAATCGAGTTAGATTATCGGATTAACTCGGTGGTTGAATGTCGGGTCGGTAGAAACGCGATCTTTTAAATCAACTTTTTTCTAGAGACTAGAGACGGGTAACTCGGCAAAAACTCTTGCGTAACTCTGATGAACTTTCAGGTATAGTTCTTGCAACTCACGAAGGCGAGTGAGCTTTACTTGTGTGTGTACGTGTACATGTACATAACAATAGTGTAATGTCTATCAAAACTTTTGAAAATGAACAGTAGCGAGCCACCACACATGTAAGTAAAGCTCACTCGCCTTCGTGAATTGCAACAACTATAACTCAAAATTGTACTATAGTGTAACACAATTAAATTTGTATTTATTTACTTGTGCATCAAAATGGAGCTGCAAATAATACTTAGTAATAAATATGAATCTACTTTTTCTACTTTGCTTCAGCGCAGCGTAGTGCCGATCTTTTAAATCAACTTCTAGGACTAGAGACGGGTAACTCGGCAAAATATCTTGCGTAACTCAGTAACTCTGATGGAACTTTCTTGGGGGCATTGAGGTAACTCAAAATTGCCATTTAGATAGATTTAAATTTACTTCATCCAAATGGAACACAACTTATTTATATTAGGAAGAACAAGGTTTATCCAATTTCATTATGTACAAATAACACTAAAAACACTATATAGGTACACAAATACAAATAAAATCCCTTGTTTTTACAGTAAGTACGTAGTAACGTAGTTGCTACGCCGTAGCAAAGTAGAGTAGTAAGTAGTCTTGCTACGGCGTAGCGCAGCGCCAATCACCTATCTCTGCAAGGATTTTTTATGGTAAAAATACACATACAGAGGTTGGTTACGTAGAGATAGGTTCTAATCTCTTTTGTCACGAAAAAAATTGAATGACTGTAAAATAGGCGATGGAAGATTTAGTGGAAATCCAATGAATCTCATAGTGATGCGAATGCTTGTGACAATAAATAAAGTAGAAAAGTAAGAAAAAGGCTTTCTATTCATCTGCAAGCTTTCAAGAGGAGAGCGTATCTTCACCTTAAAGGCCGGCAACGCACCTGTAACGCCCCTGGGTCTGCGGGTGTCTATGGGCGACTTTAATCACTTACCATCAGGTGATCCGTCTGCTCGTTTGCCTTCTGTCACATAAAATAAAAACAAAATAGGTACATTAGTAGCGGCTGCCCGCGACAACGTACGCGTGCTACGCGAGGACCCCATCTTACCCCCTTAGCTGTTGAATTTTGTAAAATCCCGTCTTAGTGAGCACCTACGTTCTAAAAGGTACCCCCATACAAAATTTGAGACTCCTAGCACTTGTAGTTTCTGAGATTTCGTGATGAGTGAGTCAATGACCTTTCGCTTTTATAGATACGCGGCGAGAAGCTTCATAAACATTGACTTATATGAAACTGCTCTAAAGCCTATACACCGCTGAGTGTATATCTAGCAAAAAGTGTAGTGTGCTATACAATAATAGTCCCATGGTTGCCACCGAATGGGCTCGAGCGTCTGTGATTTAAGGCTGCCAGGGCTGTCACTACCATAATTGCTTTCCGACTTTACTACTAAATTCCTTGCGAAAAACGATAAGGAAAAACAGGGGTTTTTTACACGGAAAAACAGTTTCTGTAGCGCACGATGACGATGGATATTCTTCAGTGACACTGAATAGATAAATATTTTATCACTTTGAATGTGTAATGTCACACTGTGAATATGACGTTATGTCACACTTATACTCTTATACCCTTTTAGAAGGTTTGAAGCGGTTGTGAATATGTACAAACATTATTGTCTCAAAATTATCTAGAGTATTATTCTGCCCTTTGACAGGTCGCGTGACCTGGCAAATCTGATTTATTAGCCGATAAATATTTAGTTATTATTCACAGATTACCTATTCCTTTAAATAGTTTTGGTGCTGGCCCAAACCAACTATTATCTATGGGCTCCCGGATCATCATTATCACGTCATTCAGTCTCCATCACGCCGATCATATAGGTACGCTCTTACTCATTATAATACGAGTATCTACACTTGTCCCCTCCGGGACTCAAATGGTGTCATCTAACATCAACTTACTATGCCCGTATTCACAAACGATACTTGCAAATCAAAAAAGTGAAAAAGCAAGTCGAACGTACAGCGTTGAATAAGAGCTCTGTGATTGGTTCATGCGTCACCCTGTGCGTCCACACGTACTGTGAGACCTCATAGTAATGTTTGTGAATACGGGCGTTAGTGACAACCCTGTAAGGTTCGGGACCGCGTCATAGCATGTATCCGCCGCAAATGACAGGGCACTTAGCCGTCAATTGCACAGCGCGAACTGACGTCACTACGTTGTACTACTTGCCAATATGTCTATTCAGAATTTAACTTTACAAAAAAATGTTTTTATGGCTCACATGTGCAGCAATGCAATGCGTATGAGATTCTTGGTTTAATTTGGAATTTCTTTTAAAGTAAAGAGTTACTATTCTACGTCTACACGGAATTCATTTTATAACTTCTGCCCCTCTAGACAAGTTACTTGACAGTTATTATTCGTAATCCCTTCAAGTTTACAAGTACATTTATTAATAAAACGGCAGAGCGAACGATTTGGTAATTACAACCGTCATCTTTTGTAACTTGTCTAGAGAGACTAGTATAATTTTTTTACAACAAAAAAGAACTTCTACGTATTAAAATAATATATTGATTTCTTAAATGAATGAGGGAAAAGAATTGTCGATTTTTTTCAATCCTGAACCTACATCATCATCATGATATTTCAGCCATATGACGTCCACTGCTGAACAAAGGGCTACCCCAATGATTTCCACAAAGGCCAGCTGGTAGCGGCCTGTATCGAGCTCCTTCCTGCTACATTATTGAAAACCTGAACAAATATAAATACAAACAACATAAATAATAAATATCTGCTTTGGTTAATGCGCGACACAGCACAGAGTTTATATCTAGGCTTTATATCAAAACGTGTGACGCATTTCGTCTCACAAATGATAAGGCGTTCACTGTCAATGGCGGAGGAAGAGACGTCATTGCCGGAGGCATCAACCCCAATATAATTACGCACGTTGTGACGTATTATAGGTAAGGCTTTGTCTTTGCGGAGGTTTCAGATTCTTAAGCCTAGGGCCATTGTTTCTAGATAATGTAGCAAATTACGAATCTCACATACCTCTGAAATCGCTGAAAGGAACACAGATTAGTGTAAGCTCCGTATTGAGCTGCTGAAATTAATTATCAGGAGTTTTGCATTTCTTCAGTGAAATTCTAACAGTACGTAAGTTAAAAATGTGCATTTTACAGGAGATTAGTGGGAATAAGCA